CATTTTTTTGCAGGAAGGAGCGCAATTGAGCAGACACAACTTTTTTAGTGGTTTTTATGCATAAAGTATCCAAAAATTAAAATCAAAATCAAAAGCCAGTCAGATATGGTCTGTTTCCTTATAGTTGATGTTGGTGTTTTTTACAGCTAATAAAAAAAGTCAAAAATCCAAATCAGATATTTTTTGTTTGTTTGTTTTTCAAGCCTTGTTGTAGACTGTATGGAGCACGGTGAACTTATATGCACAGCTGTCCTCTAGTGGGAGATAAAAAAAATGCTCACCCTGATCTGAACTGCTTGAGTGTCATTTGTCCTCATATATAACATGAAGCCTGTATGAGCTCTCAGTGTCAGACACTGTAAATGCACCTGTACATGAGAACATGAAACCTGTTTGAGCTCTCAGTATCAGACAGTGTAACTGCAGTAGGTGGCGCTCTTTCAGTGTGATTAATGTGATGTTCAGTCAGTGGTGATGGTGGGAGGAGCCAGTAAAGCTGCTCATTACTGATAAAGAGCTGAATAAAGAGGAAGTAACTAAAGCAGACAGATGTAGAGACTCACACAGAGATCATTCAGCATAAAGAAGACTGAACTCAAGTCACAATGAAGATCCTCCTCATCTTCTTCACTTTCTCCCTGATCTCAGGTCAGAGCTTTTCTCTTTCGTCACTGCAGTACTGATGCTGTTTTCTGTTCATCAGCTTTCTGATCACAGTATCAATCTGATTGACAGCTGCAGTGAGATGCTTTAGCGTCACTGGATATTCTGGAGGAAGTGTTCTTCTTGATACTGTCAGGTCTTCACCTGATAACAAGCACAATCTGCAAAAACAAACCAATGGCAAGTGGGATATAATATTAGAGAACAAAAAACAAGCTAAATGGATTAATAAAGGAAGATACACTTTGTATGTCAACACAAACAGAAATGTCGTGCTCTTAATCAGAGAACTACATGCACAGGACTCTGGAAGATACAAGATTGGACTTTCAGGTTCAGAGGTTATTGATATACATTTGAATGTGATAGATGGTGAGTAATTTTGACATTATGAACTACATACAAAGAAGGGCTGAATTTAATGAATGCTTAATATCCTTTTTTGTCAAAAATGGACTCTGGGGGCAAGAAGGGATCAAGACAATGGATCCATTTACCTGCAGTATAGCTGTTGCGTTGTAGTTACAGCACTTTATATTCAATTTTAATTGGTAACACTTTACGGCAACACTCTTAAAAATAAAGGTGCTTCAAAAGGTTATTTAAGCAATGCCATAGTAGAACCATTTTTGTTTCCACAAAGAACCATTCAGTCATAGGTTATATCTAGAACCTATATAGAACAATCGCTTTCTTACCTTTCTGTAATCTGAAGAAGCTTCTTTTGCCACGTTATTCTATGGCATCGTGAAGCACCTTTATTTTTAAGAGTGAAGGTTCAATTTGTTAACATAATTTATTAACATGAACACAAATTTTGCAGCATTTATTAATCTAGGTTAATGTTCATTTATTTAGAAATTGAATACTGTTAATAGTAAGTTAATGTTTGTTCATAACACATTAACTTATTGGTTTCACTTTATTTGATGGTCCCTTTAACACATTCTGTTGACTATATAAGCAACATTGCGCCTAACTCTCATTAGAGTATTAGTAGACTGGTTAGAATAAGTTGACATGTACTTGCAAAGTTACTTATAGTCAGTAGAATGTCTTTTGGGAGACCATCACAATAAAGAGTTAGCAGATATTAATCAGAGCGTTTACCAATACTCTAATGAGAGTTAGAAGACATAGGTGCAACGTTATTTATTGTCAAAAGAATGTTCAAAAAGAACCATTAAAATAAAGTGGTATTTATGCTCATTTATACATATTGAGATGTTGAAATGTACATCTGTATTTTGTACGAGTATCTGTTTGTGTTAACCTAGATGAATAAATGCTGGGGACAATTATTGTTCATTGTTATGATACTTAATGCATTAACTATGTTAAGAAATTAAACCTTATTTTGTTGTAAGTTAATTTAAGTGACACACACTCTGCTTTGGCTGACGTTTTGTGCTTTGCTGAAATAATATCACAGACATATAAATGGCATGGCATTTTTATGCAACCTCATTACATCTACTTAACATCACATGTTATATAAATGTTCTCTTTTGTGTAAATGACAGATCCATGTTGTAAAGTGTCAAAGAGAGTGGAGGGGAGAAGGAAACGAACTGCCATCTTTAAATGTGAATATTCACAGAATCATATTAATAATCCCAAGATCATATTCAAAGAGGGAAACGACTCCATTGATGAGATTATAAACAGCACATTGAAAAGCAATGGAAGGTTCAGTATGTCTGAAAGAACAGATCAAAAATACATAACTTTCGTAATTTCTGCTGTGACAGCAGATGATGGAGGAGTTTATTTGTGTGGAGTTCAGATCAACATACTCTCATACACTTACTCCATTATTACTACTGTTCATCTACATATTGTTCTGGGTGAGTACACTGTAGATCCAGATGTTACCTTTCATTGCTGTAACCCAATACAGTCATTCTGAGTTTAATGTTTAATAATATATTTGACTTGAATGAAATCAAATATATTATCATTATATTATTATCATTTGATGTAAAGTGATATTTGTGATAAACAGATGTGGTGGGCGTGTCTAGAGCGAGCGGCTACTCAGGAGGTCGTCTGATGATCAAGTGTGAACATCCTCAATACAAAACCAAGCCAAAATACATCTGTAAAGAATCAGACGGATGTTCAGAGAGGAAGAATCCAGGAGTTCAGGATGAATGGATGGAGAATGGAGATGTTTCTTTATATGACGACACCAGAGCAGGAGTCTTGATGGTGTTTTTTAGAGAGCTGAAAGCTGCAGATGCAGGAACATACAGGTGTGGAGTGAAAGTATCTGACTATACTGAGAGCTTCTCTCAACTACAGCTGAGCGTCAACCACGGTGAGGAACAGAAAATACTTTATCTTGCATGTATGATGTATTTATTATAGCTATTTATGTTGACCTCTCTTGCTTTGTAGATGCAAAATATCCAAACAGCATGACTGAGTCTGCAAATTTTGGTGATGAAGTCAACATCTCCTGTCAGATACCAGAGGAACATAAAGTTCATTTCTGCAAAGAGGAAGATAATCACATCTGCCAGAACATCGGCTCATCTGAAGTGACACAAATGAGTGGTTCATCTGAGAGAAATGAAGAGAGAGTTGTTAGAGTGAGCATCAGTAATGTGAGCGTGAGAGATGCTGGAGTTTACTGGTGTGGAGCAGAAACCAGAGACACATATCTGACTTTCATCTCCCTGACCACTAAAATTCAGCTCAACCTCATCAGTGAGTCCATTCAGATGATTTCACTGTAATAAATACAGTCTGTTCAGAATCATTTGTGTTGAATGTCTGTTTGATTGTTTTTTAGTGGCTCCACTATAGTGAGACATGAAGGAGAATCTGCTGAGATCTTCTGCCCTTATGATTCAATCTATAAATCAAAGCCAAAGTCTCTCTGTAAGGGGAAGTGCTCCACTAGAGACAGAAATCCTCTCAGTGAGACTGTGAGAGAAGAGAAAGAGAGCAAGACTGACAGATTGACTCTGAAAGATAACGTCACTGCACGTGTCTTCACTGGGAGCATCACTGCACTGACAGCAGAGGATGCTG